GGCGGTTCGATCAGCCGCTTTGGCTCGATCACGTGTGGATGAGGACGAGCTCATGGTGGGAGACTATGTCTACTACTGGAAGCCACAAACCCACAAGCTCGACCCTTTCAGGTGGCGTGGACCCGCGATGGTGGTGTCCGTGGAAGCCTCAATCGACCGAAAGACCATGATCTACTGGATCGTCCATGGAAGCTCACTGGTGCGAGCAACACGACAGCAGCTACGCTTTGAGACTGTCCCTGAGCGCTACGAGCGTCAGAGCAAGCCTGCCTACCTTGAGAGCGTGCAGAAACCTTTGCAACAACGACTTTTGGAAGCTCTCAAGCCAGTGCGTGGTCCAGTGAGGGCCATTGACATTGCTGGCAAGGCTCAGTCTCCTGACGATTTTCCTCAGCTTGGGGGGACTGGAGCAGCCGCTGTCGCACCTGGTGATGCCCCTCCACATGAACCACATGAGCCTCCTGACCCACCGAAAACTGATGACAAATTCAAATCGAAAACTGCAACTGCAGAACTTGACACTCCCGGCAAACCTGCCGACAAGTCCAAAGCTCGGCCGAAGGCCAAGCTGCCTGAACCCCGAATCGACTTTTGGGTCGACTACCCCGACAGTGAGAAAACCGAATCTGAATCCAAGACCACTGACAAGACTCTCTTGGATGAGATGGTGGCCAACAAGGACAAGAACCTGGATGACCACACTCAAGGCATGACCGACATCCAGAAGGAGATGAAACGGAAGCTGGAGGAAGAACATCCGGGCATCATGGACTCCTCGCATGGGGTGATCGACAGGCAAGATGATGAACCACCTGTGAACCCTGATGATGTGAGCGTTCGAGCCCGTGACAGACGTTTCTATGAACAAGCAGTACGTGCTGCCAGTTTCCTCTCCCACGAGAACAATCGACGACTGGATGGACTGCCTCCTTCCGGACGACAACTGCCTGCAAATGCTGCCGCACAAGCATCACGACCTGCTGCAAGTCTTGTGCCTCCCCGAGCTGACGATGGTCAACCGAAGACCAAGCAACCTCGAACTGAGGAAGTGCGCATGGTGGAGGTCCCTGAGGACGAAGTCATGATGGCGGTCGTGGAGAGTCGGTTGTCTGCCGATGAGAAAAGAGCCTTCACAGAGGCAAAGCGCAAGGCCCTGGTCCCATGGCACGAGAACGATGCTTGGAGGCCCTTCAAGAGGACAGCCTGCCCTCCTGGAACCATCGTGCCGATGAGGTTTCTCTTGCGCTACAAAGAGAACAAACCACATGCTCGAGTCATTCTCCAAGGCTTCAAGCACAAGGATGTCATCGAAAGCAAGCTCGACACCGAGTCACCCACAGTGTCGAGACTTGGCAAGTACCTGATGGTGACGCTGTCTTGCGTCAAGAGATGGAAGCTTGCCACCATGGATGTGAAGTCTGCATTTTTGCAGTCGGACTACATCACCGAGGAGGTGGAGATCTATGGTGAGCCCTCAGCTGACATGAGACGCTTGTTGGCTGAGATGATGGGACTTCAAGAACATCAGGTGATGCAGATGACGAAGCCTGCCTTTGGAGATGTCAGAGCACCCAGACAGTGGAACGAAACGGCCGATCGTGCGTTGATCCACGAGGTCAAGCTGTGGAAGCACGAGCTCGATGGTTGCATCTACATGTCAGTCAGACTGGCAGTGGATGGTGACCCTCCTTTTGAGGTGTTCGAGCACGAGGGCAACAACTGTGTGGTGGACGGTGTCTTCTGCATCCATGTGGATGACATCTTGACTGCAGGAGAGGGCGTGCGCTGCAAAGAAGACGCACGGGAGCCCCATGGTGAGACGACTTGCTATGCAGAGAGACTGTATGTCCTCTTGCATCGCTTCAAGTTTGGCAGCGTCGACTATGGCGACAAGCAAACGTTTTGTGGATGTCAAATGACACAAGCCCTGGACTCTGCCACTGTCACCTTTGACCTGCAGAAGTACATCCACCAGCTCAAGCCCCTCAACATCGAGAAGGCCAGAAAAGCACAACCCAACGACAAGGCCACTCCGAAAGAGCAGAGCCAGTTGAGAGGTTTGCTAGGTGGGCTAGCCTGGCCTGCCAACCAAACGCAACCACACCTGGCAGCGTCTGTGTCCCTGGCTCAGGCCGCTTCTGCTTGCGCAACTGTTTCTGAGTTGCTGGAAGCAAACAAAACGTTGAGGTATGCCAAAGAAAGCTCAGACGTGCACTTGGTTCTCAGAGGTCACGGACGTTTGGAAGAGATCCGGTTTGGGATCTACAGTGACGCGTCCTGGTGCACAAGACCAGACGGGAGTTCCCAAGGTGGCTGGATCACCTTTATCGCGACTGAGGCGGAGATCGGTGGCGACAAGCCTTTTCCCCTCACCGTGATTGACTGGTCTTCACGAAAGCTGACCCGAGTGTGCCGAAGCTCGCTCAGTGCAGAAGCTCAAACTTTGGCAGCTGCAATCGACAGCCTGGAGTGGACCAAAACGGTGTTTGCCCTGATGATCTGGCCAGCTCTTCGACCAGACAATGAAGAGATGATGCGCTGGTTGGGCGACTCACCTTGCATCACTGATGCCAGAGCTCTCTTTGATGCCAGCAACAGCAAGGCCCCTGGGATGAAACTTGCTGAGAAAAGAACTGCAATCGAAATCAAGATGGCATGCGAACGCATGGCCGCAGCTGGAGGAGTGCTCAAGTGGTGCAACAGCCATCAGCAGCTGGCTGATGGGGTCACAAAGGTGTCAGCACGGCAAAAGCTTGCAATGGAGCTTCGACGCCGCATGCACTGTCTGAGATATGATCCTGAGGGAACAGCTTCAAAGAAGGTCAAGCAGAACGTTCGCCAGGACGAGCAAGATTCACTTGATCAAGCTGCTCAGGAGTTCCAAAAACAACAAATGGTGAAGGATGGCATCTACAAGATTGAAGAGATGGAGTCAGAAGAAAAGATGGAGTGCAACATCTGCCTCTTGGACGGCTGTGGTTTGCCTGCAGAAGATGGCAAGCGTTTCTGCTCGAAGCGCCACTACCACGCCGCAAAGCACAAGCAGAGCCAAGCAAGCTCGAACAAGAGCGCTGGAGTGATCTGGTGCATGACTCTTGCAAATGAGATCGTGCCCGTGGCCGCTCTTGAGTTTGGGTTTGTGATCTTCCTCAGTGTTGACAAGATCATCGGGTTTTTCTTTTTCCTGGCATTTGCCTTGGTGTTTGCGTATACCCTGGGCAAGCGTGCTGGACGCCGAGAAGTCCATGGTCTCATGGCTGCAACTGAGCCAACGGAGACTGCTGAGGGAGAAACACAGGCACCGCCGACACCGCGAACCAGAGCGGTGACTGACTGCCAACGCTTCACGGCAGCTGAGATCTCTTTCCTGCTGGGCGAAGGCTACGAGGTTTGGTCCGATGACAAGGTGGAGCAGATCCGGCGTGACTTCATCGCTGAGTTGCCTCCGTCCATCGAGGACTACCTGCCCCAGTCCGAGATCGACAAGCTGATGGCCGGTGAAGAGACCGCAGCTCAGGTACCAATAGCACCTGAGGAATGGAATGGCATTAGCCGCCAGCAGAGATAGGAATTGATCCAAATTTTGGACGACAGTCTTCTCCTGGGCGTTCCCTGTGGTGCCATGTGCTCAGAGCTGCGAGATGAAGCCCGAGCCCTACGAGCTCAACTGGCGACCGTACGGGTCGTGGAAGGTGAACTACAACCTCTGAGGGTGGTAATGAGTTCTGTGCCCAACTTGCCGGTTGGAACCCTGGTCAGATCAGACCCCGGCACTGGCAGCAACACTTGAATAGCTGAGCACGTACAGAGGACACATTTTGGCCTTTCTCACACCGTTGAAATTTTTCATTTTCCGGCCTGTGTCGATGCCAGCTAATGCATGCATGTTGTTTGCACTGTTTGGCATGTGCAATTTACCATTTCCCCTGTTCACCCGCCGCTGGGCTCATAGGGCGCCCTTTTGAGTGGTGGCTGGCTACGAGGCGGTGTAACCGCATCAACAACGTGGAAAATAAGAAGCTGGTCCCATTCGCAACTTCGTGCGTGGTTTGGGAGGATCTGGATTGCAGGGATTGTGGAACCTTGGTTTTCCTCTACTACCCCCTCTACCAGATCGATAATATATATATATACGGCTCTCGCCGTGCTTTCGCAACCACGGTTTTGGTTTGCGCAGGAACATCTTTGGTGCCAATGACTATCGCATCGTTTTTACAGGCAATATGTTTTACTGGATGCTGGTCTCATTAGTAATTAGTCAGTCCAACTTCTTGAAAGTCCTCTGTATCCGAAACGAATCCCCAGTGGCATTTCTGCGGGAAGCCGGGATAGGAAGAGCTGCAGTAGCTGCCAGTTGGGATCCAATTGGTGGCATTCTATTGCCATCATTATTCCCCCCAAGAGCTTCCATGGTCGTAGCTCATGCCTGCAAGGTCTTACAACTTCCTTAGTCCCGTGACATGAGAAGGAGCACTTTTCGAGTCAAACTGCTGCATCTTGAGATTCACCTTGCGATCTGAATCTAGACGGCTGAGGTATTTTTTAGCACCTGGAGTCATACCAAGGCGGTCAATGCCAGCAATCAACAGTAGTTACTCAGTCGATCCGCAGAATCAAACCTTCAGCAACCTGCGAAAAAGGTAGGACCCCGAGCTGGTGCGGAGCTGGTGCCATTCGGCAGGTGCCATTCGGCAACTCAGGATTGAAAATGATTAGAAAGGTGAAACAAAACGAAACAGAGAGCCACCGCCTCGCCTTCTGGATGCAAAGGTCTTTTGAACAACCAAATAATATGTACATATGTATGTGATTGTATGTGTATCATATAATTATGTAGTATAGATGTCTTGATGATGATGCGACCATGAAAAACCTGGGATTGACATCGTAACCCAAATGCTGGCTCGGCCCACTGGGAGTGCAGTGTCAGAATGAAGGTGGCAATAATGGCAAAATACATTGCTAATCTACGGGTGTTCAATCCATCCCTGCATAGCTTTGGCACAAACGAATCAGAACATGGCTCATGGCTCAGGTGGCTCTTTGTATTTCAAATATCCGGTGCCCCTACCGCCGTCAGACACTGCGAAGTCTCCTTCGATCTCTTTGTTCCGAGCCTCCATAAACGCCTCAGCAATTGGCCCAATTGGCTCTTGGCTTCAGCAAGAGTGGACAATGATACAGTTCAGTATGGGATATATTGAATATATCGGCACCAAATATGTGGAGGATGCAACTTCTGCAGCAATCAAAGACCTGATCGTTTGAGATTGCTTCACCAAGGACCCAACGCTGAAGCTTAAGGTGCCCCAATCGTGTTTTTCCTCGGCACCCGGCAAGCCCTGTGGCTGGTGGAGACGAAAACCCTGGAAATGCCAAGTTTGACAGGCTGGGCTTTCTGTGACACAGGGCTACATGCGCGTAAATGTCTGATGTCTCAATTTGTACTCAAAATGAAGAACTGCCATGAGCGATTTGCACTGTAGGCTTGGGTCCCGTTGTCCTGAGGTCCTGCCATTGGTGACCCCATTTGAATCCCTTCCCAGAAATGCCAAGACTCTGTCCATTCCACTCCTTTGCACGGTGCATTTCTATGCAGCATGCTGAGAAATGCACTGAAATGGGTATGGGTCAATACCTATTAATACCATTTTTAGTGGGATGAACATCCATTTACCAGCTATTTTGGGGTTCACTAGGTACCAGGGTTTTGACCCATCCCCAAATGGAATAGAAGTCAGTGCAGTCAGCCCCAGATAGAGACCAGTTCGCTGCAACTATGCCATACACAGCAGCAAAAGGACTTGCTTGACTTTGGCGTGCCATTGTTGACACAGAAGAGAACCCTCCTGTAATGTGTTTGATTGAATTTTGCGAGCTCTGAAACATGCCTGGTCATGAATTCTCAGGTCAATTGGCGGCATTCACAATCTTTTTCATACACATCGCATCATATGCGGCTTTCTTCAAAAGGGGGACTCCAAGATCATTTGAGCTGTTGGCCTTCTTTCATGGGGAAACCAATTGTCTGGGGCTCTCCCGATTTGGGAAAGTAGCCCAGGAGTTCAAGCTGTGAATAACAGATAGCATGGCTTTGTCTGAAAACAGGCTGCCCCAGAATCCAAGGGTTGTCATATTCTCCATTCAAGTAGCTAATTTGCTGTATAGCTGGGTTACCTCATTTTCAGACACACCCAAAAATCAGATCACCTATAGTCATAGCCTAACATCACCCGCAAATCCCACATGGTCCCCATGTGGGTATGGGTCAATACCTATTAATACCATTATTAGTGGAATGAACATCCATTTACCAGCTATTTTGGGGTTCACTAGGTACCAGGGTTTTGACCCATCCCCATGTAAAAATCGCGGCCAAGGTACTGGGCTTGTAGGCCAAAGTGTCCCATCGGTACGTGCCGTTGACTTCAACGACCTGGTTGCCCGAGAGACCTTTCCCCGAGATGTCGCCTTTAGCGGAGAAGAAAAGCTCATACCTTGGAGCCCAATGGGCCCAACGGGCAAAGCTGGGATGCCAATTGTCTCCAAATGGCAGTGTGTCAAAACCTTGTACCCCTGGTGAACCCCAAAATAGCTGGTAAATGGATGTTCATCCCACTAAAAATGGTATTAATAGGTATTGATCCATACCCAAATGGTTTTTTTTAGTTCACCAAAAAATGTCAGTCCCACTCTGAATTTGTAGCTCTTAACATGTGTCGTCACTACCTGCGTGTTCAGCGTCCATGGTGATTCTGCCAAGGGTTCACAAGCCAACCGTGCAGCCGAAAGCACGATACTTTTCTCTTGCCTCCTTCCTCCTCAAAATGGCCTGAAAACATGCTACTCAGGAGATTTCAGGACCATTTTCAGCGGTTTTCTCTTGCTCTTTGTCAATGTGTCCCTTGTCCAGATTCCTAATGAAACATCAGGGTTGCTCCCAACACGCCAGATATAAGGCAGGGAAAATGACTAGCATAGACAGTATAGAGGTTTAAAAAAATATTTTAAAAAAACTGCAGGTAATTTCCCCTCCTTGTAGCTATGACTTACCGATACTACGTTGGAGCAGCCCTGAAATTATTAGACAGACGAACAAGACGAGTCGGCCTTCGTAGGTGCCAGAGGTCATATGCTTTGAGGCTTCCTCAACAAGATCTGTTCCTGCCGGGATGGATTTCCCACTGTCAATGTCAGTTTTTGTCAGTTTTGTCTCAAAATTTTGGAGACGTGATCCGGAGAGAGGTCTGCAGAGTTGGTTTCGACCAGCGAAACCCGAAACCCGAAACCCGAAACCCGAAACGGACTGTTAAAGTTGGTTTCGAACTGCGAAACCCGAAACCCGAAACCCGAAACCGACTCTGAGGACTTACTTTCCAAAGGACCGATCGAAACCCGAAACCCGAAACCCGAAACCGACAGCGAAAGTTGGTTTCAAGCGACGAAACCCGAAACCCAAAACCCGAAACCGACAGCGAAAGTTGGTTTCAATCGACGAAACCCGAAACCCGAAACCCGAAACCCGAAACCGACTCGAATCCGACTTTTGGGTGGCTCTCCGGATCGGAACTCAAATTTTGGGTCCCCAATTTTTCCATAGGGAAAATGATACCATCTGGATATTTAACATAGCCATGGAAAATCACCATTTGTAATAGGTAACCATCTATAAATGGGCCATTTTCCATGGCTATGTTAAATAACCAGAGGGTAACTAAACGTGAATAAACCATCAAATTTACCATCAAATTTAAGGGTACCATTGGCAAAGCCAGAAAAAAGACAGCCACCGGTTGCACAAAACCAGCGACGAAACCGGCGGCCCGTGTGCCACACCTGTGGAGGAAGCGCCTCCCTCTGATGCATAAAAATCACGCGTGGCGCTCCTGGCCAGGATGCATCACACATGTCAAAAAGACTGACTAACTTGGTCACATGCATTTATAGAATGCATGAGTATATGTCCTTCAATATTGAGAAGTAAGCGGAACATCGGAATCGGTTTCCATTGATGGACATAAATGATCTAACTTTGACATACAGTAAGTCTTCCGTGCAAACCAGAACATACCATGCAGATTGCACGGGCCGTTTTGGGTGCTGTTGGGAATGTCATCAACCCCATTGATTTGGTTTCCAAGACATGGTTCTCACCTTAAGGTTTAAACAACTCGGTCGATTGACTGCAGGAAACTTGAGGCTGAGGGGAAGGAACCTAAAACAATGTGAATCATACTAAATCCTATCCCATTATTCGAACATCATGGGTGTCATGGGTGTCAAGTTGCACTCAACTGGATCCACTTCGGCTTGTATGAAAATCAGGTACCTCGAGAATTGCAATGGCATTATTATCATCGTCATCATCAACAACTAAAAAACATCATCGACAACATCAACATCAACATTCTCGACAACATCAACATAAAGAACAACATCAACAACATCAACATCAACATCTTCCGCATCTGCCTTTCTGCGCAAAAAGAAACAGCCAAGGATCGAGCCTACCAATATCTAGTTGATATTTCATATATATACATATACATGTATACATATCTACATATATACAGTACATACATATAATTATATATACATATACACATATACACATGTACACATATACACATATACACATATACACATTCATACATACATACATTACATTACATTACAATACATTACATTACATTACATTAAATTACATACATACATACATACATTACATTACATTACATTACGTTACGTTACGTTACATTACATTACATTACATGACATGACATGACATGACATGACATTACATTACATTACATACGTTACATTACATTACATACATTACATTACATTACATTACATTATATTGCATTGCATTGCATTACATTACATTACAATACAATACAATAGAATACAATACATACATACATTACATACATTCATACATACATACATACATTCATACATACATACATACATGTTTACATACTTACTTACTTACTTACTCACATACATACATACTTACATGCATACTTACATGCATACTTACATGCATACATACCATACATACCATACCATACCATACATTACATTGCATTACATTACATTATATTACATTACATTACATTTCATTACATACCATTGCATTACATTACATTACATACCATACCATACCATACCATACCATACATACACACATACACACATACACACATACACAAATACAAAGAAATACAAACAAATACACAAATACAATCAAAGACACAAATACACACATACACACATACTACACATACACGCATACACGCATACACGCATACACGCATACACGCATACACACATACACCTACACACAAGTATATATTTATACAGTGATATACATACGCACATATACCCTATTCGTTCTCAAGCCTAGCGTTTCTACAGTCATCTTGCAGGCTTTGGCCCTTGCGCGAATCCACGGACTCTTTTGACAGCGATACACATGAGCCAGGAGCTGAGGATCCCATGAGGTTTCCATCTCTTCCACAGATTGCAACTCCAACGAAATTTCACCGTCTTTGGCAAAGTCATCCGGTATAGCTTCATAGCTTACCACCAAAGCTCCAGCTGAAAGTTCCTTCAACATCTTTTTACAAAGAATCTGCTTCACCTCCGTTGGCCATGCATATGTATTCAGCCATACCAGCTTGGCGCCTCGGAATTGAGCCGTCAGTGCATCTTGGCAGCGAAAGCTGATGGCGTGCAGTCCGAAGTCCTCCGCCAGCTGTTGAGATTCGGCCACCTGTGACTTCAGGATCTCGTAACCGACACAGGAAGCATAGCCCAAATGCAGATGCCCCAGAAAGCACTGCCAGCCCAGGCTGGAGCCTAACACCACCATGGAAGCTACATCATCTGCATAAAGCTTGGCCTGATCGGCCAGATGCCACCATGACTCTAGCCATGTCGTGCCATACGCAGTTGCGGCACTATCAGACTGGGCAGAGTCAAGCAAGCGCTCCAAAATCCACCGTGGATTTTCTTCCAAAGAACGAAGCTGCTGTACGACCTCCACCAGCAATCCCCGATCTTTAGATCCATCTTCAAGCTGCTTTAGAAAGGCCATCTCTTCCTCGCGTCGTTGGCTCAGTAGAGATGCTTCACCCTGGAAATTCAGAAGAATCGTCAGCACTTGGGCTCTATCCACAGTTAGGGCTCGATTCAAAGTCTCCTCACAAGACTCTTTATCTCCCTGAACAGCATAAGTATAGGCAAGGTTATAGAGGATTCCACAGCGCAGGGAGTCTTTGGAGTCCTTGGAGTTCAGTTCCAATGCCGCCGCAGCCAATGCCTCGTTGTGACTCTGGATTGCTTCGGGAAACCTCTGCAGTTCGCAGAGAAGTTCTCCTCGGTTGATGCGAGCATCCATGGCATTGATGCCGAAACCTTCCAGGCAGATGGCTCGGTCATAGGCCGACAGAGCTTGGTCGTAGCGTTGCTCAGATGCCAGCAACAGCCCAGAGGAACAACAGTACATGGCAGAGCTACTGAGATCCTTCTGCAGAGTGGCATACTCTTCAGCTAGGTGGAAGCTTTCCAGAGCCTCTGAAACAAGTCCTAGGTCATCCAGCACCAAAGCCTTGTTGTAATGCGCATCATGGTAGGAAGGGTCCAGAGCAAGTGCTTGGTCAAAAGCTCGTAGAGCACGGTCAGGATCAATGCTTGCTCTACAAATTCCAAGGTTCAGCCATGCTGCTTGGCACTGGGGGAAGTTTCTGATGATCTCCTTATATGTGCGAATCGCTCTATCATTACGGCCACGATCACTGAACCGCAATGCACGTTCGAAGAGCTTCTGCAGTCTTTTGGACCCTTCGCCTCCGCCTGCCGTATCGCTTGTGGCTGCCCGAGTACTGACTATGCAGTCGCAGGATCTGACTTTTGGTGCGGCCAGGGGCTGTTGCTTGTAGCTCCATTGCCAGCCGCTGAAGCAAGCTGACCCAACAAGTGTGAGGAGGAGAAGACGAAAATTGCCACTTCTGAAAGTGGCCATATGGAGCAAAAAGCTTCAGATGGCTGAATCCAATCAACAAGACCAGACAGCCATAAAGATGGTAACTGGACATCAAGACGCCCCGTTCATGTTTCAGACATTCACATGTTCCATACAGGACCCACCACACCAATATGTACACATGTCAGAGCCGTCAATGCAACCCAAGTCCCTCCTCGTATTGCCTTTCTTGAGCGCCATTGCAGCGGAAGAGGTTCCTATGCTTTTGCCGCCATTTTCGGCTGCGAAAGCCTGCCAATGCAAAACGGCCAGCATGGCCCGGCGAACTGAATGTCTACAAGTGCAACTTGCATGCTCTTTCTACCAAGAATCCACTTCAACTGCACCTGCTGACATTCAAAGACCTGTTGAAGTCAATAAGCTGACAGCAAGAAAGCCAAATCAGCATCTCTTCTAGCCTTTTCGTGTTTCTTGTTTCTGAAACAATTCAAGCACCTCGGAAAAGATTGCGCACAATTAAGACAGCTCGAATTCACTTCAATACAAGAAAAGAAAGCGATACAAAGTGATCCTCTTTATATTAAAAAATAGAGAAACTATCTAGGCCGCACAAGTGAGTAAAGACTTCCAACCTATGATTGCAAAGTGTTGCAACTCATTTACGCAACATGCCAATCCTTTGCCAGTGCTGCCAAGAAGCAACTCCAGTTTGCGACCCGCCCTTTGGCAGTTCCGACAAACGTAGAAAGGATTCTGCGCAGGTCACAAGAATGTGCTCTGAAACGAACCCTTCAAACGGACTTCCTTCTAATCTTTCCGGTCAGTATAGCTTTTGTCAGACTCTTGGAAAGCAAAATTCTTCTGCGTGGATCCACTGCATATTTGCATACATTTGCGATGTCTCCCTACGCCAGAAGTGACTGAACTACTGAAGCACCTCTGGAGCTGAATAGAGATCCACCATCATCACCCCACACACATCACCTGCACAAAGTCCCACTTGGAAGCTCCAAAGTCACCAGTTCAAGTCACTAAGACGTCATGAGAGACGCTGCCAAGGCGCAATGAAGACGCGTTGGGCCTGAGGCAAGACAAGCCACATCAAGCCACATCACCAGGGCTCTCTGATTCACCCCGATTCGCCCAGCGGGCCCAGCCTATGTCAGTAATTTCCACTGAGCCCCAGTTGTCAGCTTTAAGGAGATCGTCCACACCCCCAGATCTCACCTGGCGCCAGTCTGACAGGAAGCCATGACTCCCACTCTGTCGTGAGCCAAGATGATTCAGCCAAGAGGCATTCTCTCTCTTATGCACGGTTTTCTTCTTGTTTTCGTCAAACCTCATTGCTTAATGCAAAGCAACATAAAGCAAGAAGAGATGAGAACAAAAGATAGAAGTAGAAAACTGAAAGCCGGAAGTAACAGAGGCTGGCAAGTGCAAGGGTTGCTGCGGTGCTCCCACCTTAAAAGCTGCCCAAATCTCAAGCAAGTTACGGATAGGCTTCCCGAAGTGTCTTGACCAATTCCTTGGACAAGGAGTGATGCAACTCCTCCCAAAATCGAGCCCGAACAACTTGTCAAAACAAGCTCTTAGCTAATGACCAACACAAACTAAGTAATGTTTGTCAGCCGCCCTGCAGAAATTCCCTCCAAGGATCAAATTGGCTGTCAAGACAATTTTTGAGGTGCCACTCAACATCTTTCGCCTCGAAGACCTTATTCTTCCCCTTTGATTTCCTGAGACACAACCGACAATGTTTGACGGAGCCGACTGGTACTCGTACATCAGAAAGCATTTCTTCATGAGTCAAGGCAGAGCGCCGAAATTTCATCATAATCCATGATTTGCACACAACGAAATGATGAAAGTATATGAAAGACTATGAAAGATTATGAAAGTAGACAAACATCTTGAAGGAGCTTGTCCCAGTGCAGCCACGAGGACGCTTTGCCTTTCGCCTTGGCTTTTGCCTTCACAGAGTGTGTCCATATTGTGCCAAGAATCAGGACTGAAGACTTTGATGAAATCAATGCCCTTATGGAAGTGGAAGTATACAAAGTCATACACGCTGTGTTCAAACCAAACCCGGGTGTGCGGCCTTTCCCTTCGGCGAGCTGCTTCTCGCAATGTCCTGTCAACTTCTCAGGTTGCAAACCCAATGGCCACTGAACTTTCAGGGCTGGTTGCTATCCATGCTACCCACTTGAGTTCATTAACGTCAGAGTCAGAGTAAGAAAACAAGCAAAGCACACGGCCCAAAGGGACACCTCAGAGGCAGTGGCGCTCTTTCGTTCGGAGTATTTTGCCCCGCCAGAAGGAGCCGCGGAGGCTCCGCAGCCCATGGCAGATACGGCGAAAGCGGATGCGGCCAGCGGAGCAGAAATGTCCTTCGCTGAATCTCTGTGGCTCAAGTTAGGTGGGGGCTTTGACACCCAAACAACATGGCTGTTTTGGATATCAATTTCAAGGATTGCAGGGCACTGGTCTGGAAATTGGAAGTGCTACTTTCAAATGTCAACTTCGTAGATGTATTGTAGTGATGTTTGATGATACCTAGCTCCTGGCAGTCGCCATACCAATGGCCACATCTTTGTTGTGTGTGAAAGCTTTGCGCCCCTTGCAGGCACGATCTGTGCCCCTTCAGACTTGAGCAAAGTACAGGATTTGCATGGATTTGCTATGTAAGAGTGTTCTCAGACCAGCGATGTATTTATCTGAGAACTGAATTCAAATTTTGGAAGCCGCAGGGCTAGCGGAAGAGTAGAAAAGAGTATAGAATTATTGTCATCCATTTCTGGGTAGTCTGGGTAGTGAACATCTTTATGTTTCAGGTTTTTGCCGCTCATGCCACCCCTCAAAACTACTGCATCAAAGTGCCTTGGGGTGCCACTTCTTCAAAGTCTCTAGGCCAGCCTGGCGAGTCGCCATGCGACTGCGCTTTGAGCCTTTAAATCACAAGGCCAAAAGGATTATAAACCATACATCAATTCATTCATATGGCAGTGTGTCAAAACCCTTGTACCCCTGTAGTTCACATCAAAATAGCTGGGATTCATGGATGTTCATCCCATTAAAAATGTATCTATAGGTATTGATCCATACCCATATAGGTTGGTTTATAATGGAAAATCCTATCAAAATGGAGGATTTAGGCGATTTAGGGCTAGCTCCATTTCAGGAAACCTCCATGTTCATCGGTCATTGATATTGATCCCATCAAATGACATCATAGAAATCCCATCAACTGTAGACTCTGTAGACCAAGCAGGGAAAAAAAAAGAAACACCCGTCAAGTGTTTGGACCACCGGTCATGTTCACATCTTCACATCGTCACATGTCGCCTCCAGGCTGCTTCCGGACTGCCTCAGCCGATTTTTCTGGACTGTTCAGCAGGTCATGGATTTCATCTCTAAGATGATCAGTTGGATAATAATGATGATATAATCCATAATCATCAGATAATAATTATGGGATTAATGGATTATCAAAGATCAGAATCCCATAATGATGATAATCATTGATAATCCTAGTCTTGTTATTCAAAAATGCCGTGGTAAAAAGTGGTCGGAGGGGCGAAACTTCATCTGTCCCAAGCCCGAATTGGAAAGTTCTGTGGACCCCTACGAGGAGGCAGAAACCTGCCAAGAGCTTGGATGCGTTGCTTCCGAATTCCTATGATATGAGTTTTACCTCAAAAAGAGAATTTCTCAGAAAGAAAAGAAAATCCGAGCAATTCTATGCAATTCCTATTGCGAAAATGATGCAATTCCATGTTTGAGTCGTGGGATGGAGTGGAGTTCCAAATTGTCAGACCTGCGTCACAGCACTCCGTAAGGCCTGTGCAAAGGAAGCATCCAACCCTGCAAGTTTCTGCGAGATCTCCTCCTCCACCTGGTAACCACCGAATTCCGCTGTAAAGTCTGGATATCTGCAGATCTGAAGGAGAAACACATGTTATTGTTTATGTGTATATATATATATATACTGTATATATATATATCATTATAGTTATAGTATATAGTTATAATGTGTATATATATATATACATATATTAATATAATAGTGTATACATACAATGGATGGGTATTGGTATGGTTGAAAAATCACAACGGACCGCACCTTAGCCTCGCGCTCTTTCAGCGCCTGCTGTTGCTGTGCTAATGAGGCCTGCTGGGCTGCAATTGACTCCAGAGCCTGCAAGGTCTCAAGGGCACTTTGAAAATACCCTCTGGTAAACATACAAAAAACTATGGAAAATCACCATTTTCAATGGGAAAATCCACTATTTCTATGGTGATTTTCAATAGCTATGTTAAATTACCAGAGGGTACTGGATTTTGATGATTTTGAAAAAAGTCTTTGCCCCCTATTCAGATGCCACTTTCTGATACTTTCTGCATCGTTGCATCTGCGCCTGCTCCTGCGAAAGCAAGGCAGCTTGTTCTGCGCTCAGCATGTTCTCCACTCGTTCCTGTATCGCTTTGGCATTGCCATTATTCGACCAATGATCATCCAACAAAAATTGCAGAATATGTTGGCAGCTGTGTAGTTTCTCATATTGCAAGGTTCTAGAAAATCCAAGTTATCGATCAGTGCCGAATGGAAAGTTCTCCAGGGTGGATCCCAGACCATCCCAGGCCATGCCACGCCATGCCACGCCTGTCGGCCCTGCACTGCTGTGTCAGACACCTGAGCCACTTCGGTGACGTGCACACCACAGCGCTTCAAATGTTGCTGTAAAACAAAAAGGTATGCAAAAGAAGCTGCCCTCCCGCAGTGGCCAAAATTTCAGCCATGGAGGCAGCCAAGTTTTGGCTTTCCAAATTGGGTACCCCCCCCAGTATTTGGACGGCTAATGCCAGCCTCAAGCAACGAAGAGGCCACATGAGCTGCGGCATCTTCCTGTTAATGATAGATCACTGGTCAGGGACGTGTCCCTCTTCAAGTGTTTCCCTTGTTTTCTGGCCTGACCTGCCCTGGATTCACATCAAAAGTCATGTAAACAAGGGAAGGAGATACCTTGACAAGGACTTTTTGGAGCAATTGCTGCACTCCCCCGCCCTTTCCCCACAAAACCTGTGCAAGAAGTCCAGGTGCTACAGCAGGCCTCCCAACAAGCATCTTGAAACTTTAGCGGTATCCAAGCCCACAGAGTTCCTTCAAACTCACAGCCATTTAGCTATTTGCCATTGGTTTCATCCCTTTTCACCATTGGGTTCCCCCCTTAAAATGATCAATACAGTAATTTGGATGATATTGGATGATTTGGGGGGTCATTTTAGCAAACACATGGAAGCACCCATTTAAGTTGTTGACCTATGTCGATCTCAGGCTGTCAGCCTTTGCTCCACGGCCAGCCCAGAGACGCCAGCCAGAAAGGCTAGCACATTCAGCGCAGCCTGAGGCGTAACTGGGGGGATGGATTAAGTCAGGGTACCCCAACTCCTAAAAATTGGAAAATGTTGTGTTTCATCGCTGCTTGAAGAAAAAAAAGTCCGGTGAACATACTATCAAGTACTAATATCATGTGTATATATATATGTATTATATATGTCTATATCACCGAAACAGGGGTCCTCTGAACCCATGACCAAATAAGCATCCTGGTCAAAGGCTTGACAGGCCACTCTGAACTGGATGTGCAATTCAGTCCATGAATCCAGTCAAGGTAGGTAGGTATATCCCGTCTCCAAACTCCCCCTTGAGTCAAGCCTTCTTCATTTGCACCCGGTTGCTCTCGGGTGGTTCGGGTGCCAAGTACGCACACCAAGTGCAAATGGCTGCGCACAACAAGCAAAGTGCTTCGGATAATGACGGATAATGACTTCCTTCCACTTGACAAAGGTTCAACTCAGGTATTAGCGCACTTCCTGGGTTCCAGAATGACTTAGATACATCTGTGAATCTCCTTGTGGTGATGTCCTGGCTATAAAACACTTAGAAGTTGTGCAAAACTACTGGCTACAAACTTTCATACACTGCAGTTAAATTGGTGGAACAGGGCGCCCTAGACTGGCCCTAGACGGATGTTTGCTTCGCGTGTGGCCCTGGTGCAGCTTCAAACAAGTCCAGAAAACCTCCTCCCCAGATGGACGCAACAAGACCGCGTACCTGACATACGCCGCGGACCCCAAGTCAAACAAGTCAAGTCAGAATTTGCCTGTGCAATCTGTGCAATCTGTGCAAACACCACCGATCCACACAAGATATCGATATCACGGGCACTGGTAGGAAGCTGTTGGCTTGCCCTTGCCCTTGCCTGATTCTGAGGGGACGACTTGAGTCGTCATTGCCAGACCCTTTAAGGATTCGGACTATTCCAAGCACAAGCTACTGGACTATTGGTTGACCAATGCTTACGGTTAAAGTAATGGTTGGCTACTGGTTGCTTGATGGTTCACTTATGGTTGACCAGTGTATACATATATATAGAGAGAGAGAGTGGTTTGCGAATAATGGTTGGCTAGTGGTAGACCAATAGTTGAATGATAGTTGACGAATGGTTGACTAATGGTAGACTAATGGTTGACTCATGATTGACTAATGGTTAAGTAATGGTTGGTGGATGACTAATTAACGGTTGGCTAATGGTTGACTCATGGTTGACTAATGGTGAACCAATGGTTGATTGATGGCTAACTTTTGGTTGACAAATTGTTCGCTAATGGTTGACAAATGGTTGACTAGTGGTTGACTGATGGTTCACTAATGGTTGGCTAATGGTTGGTTGACTGACGGCTGACTAATGGATGACCCATGATTGACAAATGGATGAGTAGTGGTTGACTCATGGTTGACTTAATGGTTAACTATGGTTAACTAATACTTGATGGATGGCTAATTAAAGGTTGACTAATGATGGACTCATGGTTGACCAATGGTTAACTAATGGTTGATTGATGGTGGACTATGATAGTTATGGTTTACTGCTGTTGCCAACAAATTTCCTCCAGCCCGTGTCTATTCGGAACTGCCCCCGGCCTTTGCCTTTCCCCTTTTGCCCTATAGGCCCTGCAGGCGCATACATTCCATAGCCATACATCCTCAGGCTGTGTCGTGGCTATGGGATGAACTGCGAATTGATCTGTTCGGCGTGACCTTTGCATTGGATTTGAGCATTTCAAAAAGAAATCTTGTAAACGGAATGTTTTTCATGGGAGATTAATGATATGACAACTCAAAATCACCCCAACTACCGCTGGATATTCATGGGATATTAAAGTGATATACTAATGATATGGGTTTGTCTGAAAATAGGGTATATTCCCAATTATAGCCATTTAATAGGGATAATGATCAGCAAAACCATTGGGTTTAGGGGTACACTATTTTCACACACACCCATATACTGACTTCACTCGAACTGGCACCTCCAACTACTCCACCCCGGACCCGCGACTTGCCGCCACGTGGCCGGGCCCGCAGGGCCAGGAGGGCTGTGGCGCTGCTTTCAAGTAACGCCTGGCGGCGTGTCGTTCAGCGGTGCCACAAACATTGTGGCAGGGATTTCATTGATTTCGCCTGGAAAAATGATGAAAAATGATGAAAAATGATGAAAAATGATGAAAAATGATGAAAAATGATGAAAAATGTGGATTTTTCCAATGATTTAAAATGAGGACATCCCTCTTAGGGCCAAAATGAGTCTGACTTCACGGTGACTTCACGTTGACCACCTATGGCCCGGGCTCTCACACCTTGCGCTGCGGCTATGGCTGCGGAAATCGTGCTAATTTGCTTGTGCCTACAACACTTTGAATGCACCTGAAAGCTGAGGTGCGCTGTGCTAGCGGAGGAAACCCGGATTGCTTTAGAGTGCCACAAAATCACGAAATCATCTATTGTTCATCTCAGCTTGCTAAAACAAAATGGCTGAGGCACGTACGTCAGGAAAAGTTGAGCTCTCAGGCTCGAATACTCAAATTTGCTAAAACCGAAGACGCGCAAACCAAAGCAAAAAACTACATACAACAAGAACATAAAAAACTGAAACAGCAGATTGGGTCTAAAACAGCCCAAACTAATTACAACAGCGGATTCAGAATCTATAGCAGTGGATTCGGAAACTGAACCAGCTTGGATTAGTGACTGTGAGAAGTCTTGTGGATTTTGTGGGATGCTGAGCTCAAGAAGCTAGTAAATTTATGAAAAAAATCGAGAGAAACCAGCTTTCACTGACCATTTAAGATCTATCAGCAATCCAACCCTTTTCTGCCGCGGATCGCTGCCGGTTCGCAACAGGCCAAGGGGTAGCCAAGTCCTGCGAAGCTGCGACTGAACGGTGACCAAAATGTTCAAAAAACCCTTGCGGGTTGGTCCAAACATGGGGTGATACGTGAAAATCCAAAAAAAATGTCCATCTATATAAATGGGTGTGTCTGAAAATAGTGTACCCCTAAACCCAATGGTTTTGCTGATCATTATCCCTATTAAATGGCTATGATTGGGAATATACCCTATTTTCAGACAAACCCAAATTGGAAAAGATTAGTAAAAATGATGGGGATCTGTTGGCATTGGGGTTTCCCCCATCTTCAAACAAACGAATGCAGCGGGTCCCTGAACCAGTTCGAGGGGCTGCTGCAACCGCTGAAGCCTTGCACAATTGCAACCAGTTGTGGCTGAATTAAACCATAATTTGCCATAGATAAGAACTAGTTCATAAACCAGAATTTAGCATATTTAGCGATTCAGCTAGATGCCAAATGCCAACCTGAAGATGTTCAAACACCTTCAATGCACAAGGAATTGAAACCACCAAGTCTTGTGCGGTTGGCGCCTTAGGTTCCTTCTGGTTGTAGAGCCAAACGCCCAAGAGACAAGTGCCAACTCCCACTGCTTGTTCAAAGGTAAGGCTGTTCCTCGACTCACAAGTTCAGCCAAAGCTTTCAAAGAATACAGCACAAGCGCCTGGTTATCTAGTGTTCATTAGTTTTCAACGTCCGAATTTGCAGTATGATCGCAGGATCAAAGAAACGCACCCTACACATGCCTACACCATTCTCATATATATAGTGTATATACATACATACATACATACATACATACATACATTACATTACATTACATTACATTACATTACAATACAATACAATACAATACATTACATTACATTACATTACATTACATACAATACATTACATTACATTACAATACAATACAATACAATACAATACATTACATACATACATATATATATAGTAGCATATGAATATCCAATCAGGCAACATCTGGTGGACTACTCGGACGGCTGGTGCATTTCCCATCATTTGACTGTCCTGAAGATGGCCACAGATACGCCAATGGAGAGACAGCTCTTCACATTGCCCAAAACCTGTAAGGTCACCTTGCAGAAAGGGCGCATCGAGGCTCAAAGATGAAGGGGTTTTTACTAGAAACACGTGTAAAATGAGGAAATGGTCGCCAAATCAGCCAGCAAAGACCCCAAGAGGCAAGAGTTTCCAATTTGTTCCCTGCTGCTTGGCTGCCAGGACCACAAAATACGAGTAACATAAATCGGATGGATGAATCAAATGGCTCAACCGTCCACCATGAAGTTTGCAGGTCAGAGGCACTGGGCTGGTATAGGAAGTGACCAGAAAGTTGGCAATGTTAAGGAGACAGGCATTGAGACCTAGCAAGTTCCAAGCCAGTCAGTCACCAGTGGGAGGACATGTTTACAGTGCGATCAAACTGAGTCGTTGCGGTGAATCCCTGTTTCGTTCCCGAATTGTTTGGTGGAAACCTAAGAATATACAAGCTAATATGGGAAACGACAAAATAATGTTCATAAAGTAAAACACATGGCAATCATGGCAATCACACATGCCGTAGCATTGAGCACATGTTGCCGGCCTGAAAGCACCAGCAAGTACATCACAGTTCCAACCCCGGTGATTGGCGCTCCGGGCCTCAACGTCGGGATACATGTTGCAGACTGACATCCATGGTGTGTCTATGCTCTGATGTAAAAAGTTTGGACGCAACATGGCCTAGGATCGTGGCAAATCATCACACTGAAGCATGGTTTTTGCAACTTTCACCCCCTATGTGTACCTCTCAAATAATGGTGTGTCTACTAAATTCCCATATTTATTAGGGATTCCAGCAAGCCCACCGTTTGCCGTTGCCAAAATTTCATCAGCCGAGGATCTCTGCAGACCAGGGCGCCAGCAGTAGCATCATTGGCTCCGTACCCTCCATGAGGAGCATTAGGAAAAAGAGCCAAAGCGCCGATATCGGTGCCATGTAGTACCTGGAAACCATGACCAAATGGCCATTTGGACATAGACATGATAAACATTGATAAACTAGAATCCAGTTGGACACGTTCATAGCCTGTGTTGGCTTTTGGGTCCAACAGACCATCCACAAGCTCTTTCCTGAGACCCCGACAATAAGGATACCTCAATAAGCAGGGTGCAAACTGGATCAAACAGGCGATCCTGACCCAAAAATTTACTCCAGCAATGTAATTAATGAGACATAACAAAGTTTTGAAGCAAAATGAAACAACATCAGGCAAGGCACTGAGTCCAGCTTGTGGGACGGTGACAGTAGCCTGCGGCTTTTGGAAATATGGCTGTGGGTCAAGACCAGGGTATCTTTTTGAACATCCCAAGGATT